GATATGGATTCTGGGTTTTCCTCCATAGATCTAGAGCACAATAAGGCAGCAAGAGCAATACATATCTGATGTGAGGTCTTAATCGGCCATTTCCATGGGAGATGTTTAAATTCCACTACACGGTAACACAGGAAATACCTTTATAGAGAGTTCCAAGAAATATAGACTAATATATCCCGTGACAATCCCTCCGCCACTTGTCTCTTACTTCTAGGATTTGTCTGAAACTGCACTGTTCTTACAGAATGTCCTTCTTTCTTCCTTCCATCAGATTTTCATCTAAGTTCTAGTCCTTTACTAAACACTTGGTAGTTCTCATGCCTCTAACAGCAGATGTTCTTTTCAAAGAGCACAACATTCTATCTATACATTGTGCTAGCAGCTGTATATATTGGGAGCGTAGCGGAGATCCTCTACTCCGACCAAATACCTCTGCTGATACCACGGGTTTCTGGAGTGCTTTAAACCAAGTCAACATAGCTTGACTTTGTCTCAGAGGCCCTCTTCCACCAGACTAGGCTGCAGAACTCTCCTTCCAGGCAGGAATTGTCCCCTCTGCCTCTTCTGTTCCTTTCCAAGGCAGGTATCGACACCTCTGCCTGCGCTGCCTCCAACTACTGCATTTAAAAAGGTCTAGCTCTTTCTTAACTCGTCCCTGAGATCAGGGACCAGTGCAGTCAGGCAACAGGACCAAAATTTCAGCTACTGCAATCACAGAACAAACCAGACAGGACACACAGTTCCCAATGGAACTAACATACAATTCTTTATTTTGGGACAAGGACTGGTGTTTGATGACTTGTACTTAAATAGGTGGTGAAAAGCATTTAAAATACAAATATACAGAACTTTGGAGAACAAGTAATTATAATTAAAGGGACACTATAGTCACCAGAACAACTGCAGCTTAATGTAGTTGTTCTGGTGAGTATAATAGCTCCCTTCAGGCATTTTTATGCAAACACAAAAAAGAGAGAAGGCAGTGTTTACATTGCCCCTAGGGAAACACCCAAGTGGCCACTCCTTAGATGGCCACTGGAGGTGCTTCCTGGCTCAGTGCTGCATATTGTGTGGCACTGCCGTTTAGCATCTCCACGCTCTGCATGGAGACACAAAATTTTCCTCATAGAGATACACTGATTCAATGCATCTCTATGAGGAGGTCTTGATTGGCCAAAAAGGCATTTGGCCCCGCCCCGTGCCAATTTTAGCCAATCCAATGCTTTCCCTATGAGAAAGCATTGGATTGGCTAAAACATTGGCCATTTTGATGATGTCACAAAGGGGGCGGAGCTACTGCCGGCAGACCCACGCGGCGCTGGAAATAAGGAGTTTTAAACTTTTATAGGGGGACTAAGCCACCTATATGGTGGGTTTAGCACTATAGGGTCAGGAATACATGTTTGTGTTCCTGACCCTATAGCGATCCTTTAATAGATTAAATATATAATACAAGACACTTTTTCAAACACATTTAAAAGCTACAATATATACACTGCTCAAAAAAAATAAAGGGAACACAAAAATAACACACCCGAGATCTGAATGAATTAAATATTCTTCTGAAATACTTTGTTCTTGCAGCCCCCCAAAGAAATGCCACCCCACACCATTACTGACCCACTGCCAAACCGGTTATGCTGGAGGATGTTGCAGGCAGCAGAACGTTCTCCATGGCGTCTCCAGACTCTGTCACGTCTGTCACATGCTCAGTGTGAACCTGCTTTAATCTGTGAAGAGCACAGGGCGTCAGTGGCAAATTTGCCAATCTTGGTGTTCTCTGGCAAATGCCAAACGTCCTGCACGGTGTTGGGCTGTAAGCACAACCCCCACCTGTAGACGTCAGGCCCTCATACCACCCTCATGGAGTCTGTTTCTGACCGTTTGAGCAGACATTTGTGGCCTGCTGGAGGACATTTTGCAAGGCTCTGGCAGTGCTCCTCCTTGCACAAAGTCGGAGGTAGCGGTCCTGCTGCTGGGTTGTTGCCCTCCTACGGCCTCCTCCACGTCTCCTGATGTACTGGCCTGTCTCCAGGTAGCGCCTCCATGCTCTGGACACTACGCTGACAGAAACAGCAAACCTTCTTGCCACAGCTGGCAGTGATCTGCCATCCTGGATGAGCTGCACTACCTGAGCCACTTGTGTGGGTTGTAGACTCTGTCTCATGCTACCACTAGAGTGAAAGCACCGCCAGCATTCAAAAGTGACCAAAACATAAGCCAGGAAGCATAGGAACTGAGAAGTGGTCTGTGGTCACTACCTTCATAACCACTCCTTTATTGCGGGTGTCTTGCTAATTGCCTATAATTTCCACCTGTTGTCTATCCCATTTGCACAACAGCATGTGAAATTGATTGTCACTCAGTGTTGCTTCCTAAGTGGACAGTTTGATTTCACAGAACTGTGATTGACTTGGAGTTACATTGTGTTGTTTAAGTGTTCCCTTTATTTTTTTGAGCAGTGTATATGTATATAACTACTTATTTGGTTGTACTAACATATATATATAAAGATATATTTTTATTCAGTCAGCAGAGGCCGCTAACAACATTGTTTGTAAATCGATCGCTACCATCACAAGCCCCTTTAATGGGCCCGTGGGACCAGGTCCATAGTCTGTAGGCAAAAGGCTGTGGCACGGGAGCTTCTGTCAAAGACCTATTTAAAGTAGGTCTGTCTCCCACCTATCTTTCAATTCTCTACCATAGACTCTATGCCGAAAAATTGACAGACAAGACCGCAGCAAAGACCTCTCGCACCCAGGCATTTTGCTCTCCACACATAACTCCATAACCAACATTGCGCTAGCTCTGGCTGGGGAGTACAGGAACGGAGTGACTGTATAGACACTGGCAACTGAGGGTTTCTATGCCCATTCCATTCCATTTTATTTTCTCTGCAAGAGTTGTATAACAAAGTATACATAGATCATTATTACTCCACCAAGCAATCGAGCTTTCCTCTGGATACTTTGTAGCTTTTACATCATCACACCCAACTTCCTTTACTTTGAGTTCACTTGTTCAGGGTCCTTGTAGTCCCTCTCCACCGATGTGTTTTGTCACAGGAAACCATCAAGGATTGGTTAGTTTGACGTACATTAGTAAAGGTTTATAAATCACAATATGGAATATTGAGGATTTATTTTCTGCAGGATATGGCATGGGACATTGCTTGAAATGTGAAGTACTGCACTACTAGCCAAGCTGTGATAGTTACTTGACACTGCAAGCTTGGAGACCATGGCACACTCACGAGGGGTGAAATTCTACTCACCATTAAGGCTGCTACAAGGTAGGTACAGGTCATAAACTTGTAAAGGGGACATGCCCCACATGGTGCCAGGCATTCAGGGGTGTAACTGCTAACGGCAGCAGTGCTCACCAGGGCTGAATTTTTACTCACCAACGACCAATGAAAATTGAGCCCTGACTGAGTATTGAACTTTCTGCAGGATATATTCCAGTGGAGGTATTGGATTACTTTATTAGAACATGCAATACCTCCAGCAGTCCCCATGCTTAGTTTGTGAACCGGGTGACATTGGAATATATTCATGAAATGGATAGTCTAGATCACGGATAGGCAACCTTCGGCACTCCAGAGGTTGTGGACTACTTCCCCCATAATGCTCTCACATCCATAAAGCTGGCAAAGATCAGCCTCATTCCCACCAACTAAGTACACTGGCCTGAAATGTTTTGGGGTTTTTTTTGGGAGGAGGGGAATGGGTGTGCATGGGCATAATTCAGACTGCTTTCTCCCCTAGTTTGGGGTTTCTGATATGCTTGTTTTAAAAATGGATTCTTTCTAGCTCTCCATTGCCCTCTCTTGGTGGAAACTGGAAAATGCATACATTTGTATCATTACAATATGCAAATTAGGTAAATGCAAAAATGACAAGTTCCATCTATATTTTTCTGGTTTCACAGTTATATATTGTTTATAGAGATCACCACATGTTTAAGCAATAGTCTCCAAAGGCTAGTCCTTGTTCAATATAAAGTATGGTATAGGTTAGTGTCCTGTGTGGATTTGTTCAGAGATTTCAGTGACAGAATCTTTGGACCTGTTTGCTGGCTTTATAGTCCCAACAGCCCAGGACTAGTGCAAAAGAACTAGACATGAGAGTCACAACTGTGTTTATAAAGGCGGTAGGTAAAAAAAAAGCTGGAATCACTATAAGCATAAGTGTTGATATTTGCTTGTGAGAGGAACTGAAGAGGCAAAGGGACAATACCTGCCTGGAAGAAGAGAGGTGCAGCCTGGTCAGGTGGAAGAGTACAAAAAATAAAAACCCAGTCAAGCTTCGGCGATGGACAGAAGATCTCCAGGGACCCCTGTGGCAGTGAGGAAGCAAACCCGGCAGAGGTTCTAGGTAGGAGGTCTGGACCTCCGCCACAAGCATGTTGAATGCCTAAGTAGCAAATCTGGAAGAATGTCCTTGTGTAAGTTATGAATCTAATCACTCCAGCCCTCTAAAGCGCTTTAGCTTGTCAAAATGCTTTGTGTGTGAAGAGTGTGTTCTATTTCTTAATTTTGCAAAAAATCTTCACATTTCAATAGAAATTGGCACTTAGAAATCGACCTTGTTACACCTCCTGGCTGTCAGACAACAGGTCCTGTTACTTCCTGGTTTGGTTAGCTCAGTAGAGCTAAGATCAAGAGGCAGCAACTGCCTTGCAAAGACTTCTCATTGCGCTGCATTTAGAAGTCTGTGATTGGACAGACACAGACTGTCTGAGTAGGGCTAGAAGGGGAGGACTTGCAAAGGCTTCAGACTAGAGATCTCCAGCATTTTCAAGCTGTTTTTAGATAAACACCAGTAAAAAAAAAATTAAAAAAAAAATTAAATGCATGTATGTTTTCAAGGGGAGCAGTCACTGCCAGAGAAGTATCAGTTCGTTGTTCATTCACCCCAGTTAACACTATATGTTGGAGAAAGTGTGTCAAGTGAAGAGGCCTGCAGCATAAAACACACACACACAAAATAAATAAATAAATCTGCACAGTGTTACTTATTGACCTTTATTTAAAATACGGATTTCTGATCTATAGTTCATTATTTTAAATTCTCATGTGGTCCATATCCGTGATCACTAATTGTTACGAAAAAGGATTCTCAGTGAATACATCTGACATGAAAATTAAAAATGTAAAAATTAATTTCCACTGCCCACCCCCAGCATGCTCCTTGCGCTTGGCTATTTCTTTCCACGTCCTTTTTTGTTCTTTGTGTTTGAACTTTTCCCTGCGCTCTGTGCCGGGGCCTTGAGAACGGCAAGTTTTTTGGGCATGTTTGCGCTGGCCTTCATGGTGACCTCATGCTCAATCTTGCTACGAATCTGCACTTCGAGACTCTGAGAAGAGAATAAATATATATATGTGAGTGTGTGATGGGACACAGGGACAAAGGGAATTAGGGGGAGTTACATTAAAGACACAGGATGACAGCTACCATGTTACTTTTTAAATCTTCAACAACGTTCTCTCTCTGCACACATTGCCTCAGTGACAAGGGCTCTACATCAGAGCCACGTGAGTTAGAAAGTGGCAGTGGAGAGAGTCAAATGAGAGGGGAGGGAGCCACATGGGATAGCTGCAAGGTAAGAATGGAGAAAGCCACGCAGGTAAGATAGAAAGTGAAAGGAACCATAAAGGAGAATGAGAAATTCCCTGGGAAGGAGGAGCAGACTGGAGAGGTAGGGCCAGTGGAGGAATCACACAGGGAAGTTAGAAAATGCAGAGGGATAAAGCTGATCAACTGACACACAGGCTATTGTGATAAATGGACCAAATGCATGGCTCTAAGAAATAAATTAGAACATAAAAACCAAACAGTGACGTGCTGCAACGTGAAGGCTGGGTCACATTCGGTACTTACAGCTTTCAGTTTTTGTTGGTGAATCACTCTAGTCTTCTTGGGGGCGATTACTCTGCCTGTTGGGGAAATGATCATGAGATTACAGATTCACACACACAAGGTATGAGCAAAAAGAAAGGTTTTAGTTATTGTTCAATCCAAAGAGAATCTCTAATATAATTTATACAGTCCCAGTATCTCCCATTCTTACACCCAGCAACACGTACAGCGTGCCGCTCTTACACCCGGCAACACGTACAGCGTGCCGTTCTAACACCCAACAGTAACAGTTAGATGTATAATATTTATTATAACAGTTAGATGTATGATATTTAGTATAGATGTATAATAATATAATATTATTTAGTATAGATGTACAATAAGAATAATAATATTATTTAGTATAGCTGTATAATGATATAATATTATTTAGTATAGCTGTATTATAATAATATAATATTATTTAGTATAGCTGTATTATAATAATATAATATTATTTAGTATAGCTGTATAATAATATAATATTATTTAGTATAGGTGTATAATAATATTTAGTATAGCTGTATAATATTATTTAGTATAGCTGTATTATAATAATATAATATTATTTAGTATAGATGTATAATGATATAATATTTAGTATAGGTGTATAATAATATAATATTATTTAGTATAGCTGTATTATAATAATATAATATTATTTAGTATAGCTGTATAATAATAATAATATAATATTATTTAGTATAGCTGTATAATAATATAATATTATTTAGTATAGGTGTATAATAATATTTAGTATAGCTGTATAATAATATTATTTAGTATAGCTGTATTATAATAATATAATATTATTTAGTATAGATGTATAATGATATAATATTATTTAGTATAGGTGTATAATAATATAATATTATTTAGTATAGCTGTATTATAATAATATAATATTATTTAGTATAGATGTATAATAATATTATTTAGTATAGATGTATAATAATATTATTTAGTATAGATGTATGATAATATTATTTAGTATAGCTGTATAATAATATTATTTAGTATAGCTGTATAATAATATTATTTAGTATAGGTGTATAATAATATAATAATATTTAGTATAGCTGTATAATAATATTATTTAGTATAGCTGCTGCACGTTGTCCTCCGATCACTCACCCCCCTTCCTGATGCCGGTAGGTTTCCTGGCTGTGGGTTTCTTTGGTTGGGCTTTTAGTTTCCGCGCTCCCTGTGCCATGTCTGCCTCCGGGTGACTCACTCGCTTTAATCAGACTGGCCCGAGCTGCGCACGCCTCCAAACCCGGAAGTGTAGTGGCGGCCATATTCGTTGGGGCGCGTGTAAACACCGACGTCCAACCAATAAGAAACGAGGCGTCCGCTCTCACCCTGACGAATGATCTGATTGGGTGACCCGCCGACCAATCAGATCATGTATCAGGGTGAGCGCTGACGCCTCGTAACAAGAAGCGGCGCCTTCATGCCGCCATGTTGGTAGAGGAAACCATTGGCATTTCCAGGTTGCAGGATCGTGCTTGGCACGGTACATGCACGCTGGCTGTGTATGCTGGGAGTTGTTTCCCATTGGCCTGGCCTCTCTACACACAGTATAGGTCGCATGTTGCCATTTTTAATATCTCCTATTGGGCTCAGCCATCCATTGCAATGGGAGAGGCTGTCACTGTGCAGACAGTACTGGGGGGATCCTACCTGGGGTAGAAATACTTGGCACAAAATCTCAGCAAACCTGGGGGAGCTACAAAGGGGGAGAGAGAAGGGGGGTTAGGGGGTGTAAAACATGGGGCAATCTCTGTTATTTGGGTTTATGGCTGCCTTGGCTCAAACCATGCTCTCAGGCTCATCTACTAGTGTGAGAATTTCAAATTTAAGGTAAAAACAGCTGAACTGTGGGAAAAAAAATTTCAGCAATCCTTTCACTTCGGCTACTCTGGAGTTAAAGTGTCACTGTCACTTCATTAATATTTAGTAATTATAACGTATAGACCGTCCATTTGTAGCAATGGTTTAAAATAAGTCAATAAATTTAAGTCCTATAGCAGTGATGGCGAACCTTTTTGAGCCAATGCCCAAACCGCAATACATGCCAACTTTTGTTTCCTCAAAGTGCCAACACGCCAATTAAACCTCAATACTGAATTTAAATTTAGAAAAAATAACTCGTACAGTTGTCCGAACTAATTAACTACTGTACTTTTGTTTTAAAAGACGAACACAACAGAGAGTTCAATGATACAAATGTTAAATTATGATATAAATAGATAAATTTAAGCTCATATTTACTACTATCTCCAACAAATACAATACACACACACAGTCTGCTGAATACACACAGACGGCTGAATACACACACACAGACTTCTGAATACATACACACACAGACTGCTGAATACACACACACACACACAGTCTGCTGAATACCCACAGATGGCTGAATACACACACAGACTGCTGAGTACACACACACACACAGACTGCTGAATACATACACACACAGTCCGCTGAATACACACACTGCTGAGTACACACAGACTGCTGAACACACACAGACAGACGGCTGAATACACGCACACACAGACTGCTGAATACACACACACATACTGCATTGAGGGATGCAGTGTATGTGTTTGTGTGTGGGGTGCTGTGTGTCCGAGGAGTGCTGTGTGTGTGTGTGAGAGGGGTGTTGTGTGTGAGGGGTGTTGTGTGTGTGGGAAGGTAGGGCATCGTGTGGGGGTAAGGTGCTGTGGGGTAGGTGACTTGTGGGGGTAGGGGTGCTGTGTGGGGGTAGGGTAAGTTGGGGTAGGGGTACTGTGTGGGGGTAGGGGTTACTGTGTGGGGAAGGTGGGGGAGGGGTGGTTAAAAAAAAAAAAAAGGTATGCTTAATCAGTATCCCCCCCCTCCTTCTTACCGTTAATGAAGGAGGGGGGGACACAGCCATCCCTGGTGGTCCGGTGGTGGCAAGCACTGCTTCCGTGTCGGGAGGCAGGGGGATGGATCTGTGAAGCAGCTCCCCTGTCCTCTCGCGATGCTGTGTGGAGCGTTGCCATGGTAATGCGCGGCAACGCTCCACACAGATTACTTGCGGGAGGACAGGGGAGCTGCTTCACAGATCCCTCCCCCTGCCTCCTGACACGGAAGCAGAGTAGGCGCCTGCTGTTTTGGGCAGGCAGGTGCCTACTCTGCATTGATGGCAAACCTATCGCCGCGTGCCCAGAGAAAGGGCCCGGTGTGCCACCTTTGGCACGCGTGCCATAGGTTCGCCATCACTGTCCTATAGGACAGTATTGTTTAGGTCCCATCAAATAGACAAAGAATGCAACTAATGAGGTCAGGTGGCTCCCTAGATTTAAAAAAAAATCATCTTATCAGTAATAAACTTTATTATAAATTGACATACAACATAGGTGCAACAAAAAGTGAAAAGTGATAATCACTATCAATTAAAAAGGAGGGGAAAACCTACATAGCTCAGTGTCAAATGAAGTAAAAAATGGAAACAGTGTGAGCTACTAAAATAGAATTTCAACTATATCCCAGATTGGTATGTATCAAAAACAACAAATTATCAAATTAGTTGCAAAGCTGGTAAAGACAGGAAAAAAGATCAACTGAAATAAATTCTATCAATAACCACAATACTGATGTAGATTCTGTGGTTTATACAGGAAAAAATCCAAACCTGATACTGGTGCTGAATGGGTAAAGTTTAACCCTTAGGATGCTCTAGGTACTCAGGGCCAGTGCAAGGATTTTTGCATATGACATCACAATCACGAGACTGGCGTTGGCCCATATGCCGTATGGGCCAACG